AGTGAAAAGACTTAGTTCGAAGCAGTGATCACGTACTTTTATTTTTTGATTAAAGATAAAATACAACTAGTTAGCTATGATAATAATAGATAGCCTTCTTGAAGCAAGAGATACACTTAATTGGTTAGATCAAACATCTTCTCCAACTTCTCTGGCATTGAAACCTGAAAGAGACAAAGATAACCCAACACTGGTTCAAGATAACCAATTACTAAATGAATTTTTTGAAGCATATAAGGCATATACTTCATTATCAGGTCTGAACTTGTGTAGAGAAGAAATGAAAAAAGCTTTCTTCAAAGGCCTCAATGAAAAGATAAAGAATGAGTTTGGGTATAAGGAACCCTTGAAACCTTTGAATAGGTTATATAAAATTATAAATAAAATAAGAATGCATAAAAATGATTGCGACACAGAAAAGATCAAAAGGTCCATTCATGATAGTTTTGACAATAAAGCCTTTTCATATGACCTGTAGTGATATATTTTTATTAAATATATTATTTTTGTATAATTCGTCCACTCTCTCATTTAAAGATTTTGGGATAATAAATCAAACATGCTTTTTATTTCTCTGATCTAAATTCACAAATGGATATTTTATATATTTTTTCGAATAAATATGAGAAAAAAAGCGCAATCAGGCATTTTTATTTACCAGAACTATTAGAACAGATTTTACATTTTTTAGCGATAGATAAATCCCTCTATCCTGCTCTATTTGTTAGCCAATTGTGATACAGATGCAATGCTTCTATTCTATGAAAACGAGTTGAGCTAAAGGGAAATAATTTATATCCTAAGCAATCTTTTCCAGATAATTATAATTACTGTAAAGATGACCGCTCTCAATTGAAGAAATTCATAAAATTAGTACGTGGGAAACAAAAGCCAGTTTATTGTTAAAATATAACTCATCTTGAAATTTCTTATTACCATTCACTTTGGGATGAAAAAATCATAGGTATTGTGCACTCATACCTAAATATAATTCATTTGGATTTCAAAAATAGCATGGGATTTAGTAATAAAATATTAGAAATTATAGCAGTGTCACTGTGAAATTCTTCAACTTGAGGTGGTTACGTTATCAAGTCTCTACTTGAAATTTCTAACTGCAGCTTACTGTGGTCAAGACGTTAGGATCCGCCTAACTCTTAACTGTACCAAATTTACGCGTTGGACTGAAACAAATCTATCAAGTATAAAGACTTGAAAGACGAGATTAGGAATAATTTTAATTAAAGAATTCAGATGATAAATTCAATTACAAATAATGTGTAGGGATCACGTCAGACTATATAAAGACACAAAAAGGCAGAAAGATATAAGTTTTGAATAATTCCTTTATTATTATTGAAACTTATATTCGCAAAAGAATTTACAAATCTGCAAAAGAGTTAATTTACAATATAAGCAAAAAGTCTATCTATTTATACAAAATTTCTTTTGTCATAGCTAACTATTTACTATGCCATAAACTAACTAATTTAGCAAAATAAAATATAAGTAAAATAAATATATTGAGAATAATAAAAATATAAAATATAATAGAAATAATAATAAAATTTAGAATATTAAAAATACGTATAACATTAAATATTCTTAGACTTCATTTAATTCGTAAAATTATGATTATTATCAGTATTTGGGAGATCTTCTAAATTACATAGATCCTCTGTATTTTCAGAATTCGCAAAATTCTTAGTATTTTCAGAATTCTGAATTAATAGATCATTATACTGCGTCATCCACGTGACTTTATTATGGCTGGTTAATTGCTCCGTTAACAGTGGGTTCATATTCAAATCTGAAATATTTCAATCTGTGTGATGATCAATCGGGTAACTATGTAAGCCTTCATATTCAAGAAGTAGGTAATGGAGGTTTATGAAGAATTACACAGTCATGTCATAAATTAGAATATCTAAACATTTCGTATCGCATAGAGATTCTTGAACCATCAATTTGTAATATTATTCGTTCCTGTCTAAAGCTCTAGCATCTTAGTCTTAGATTTTGTGAAATTAGTGATATAACTATCAAAGATATTGCTTGTTCGTGTCTTAATTTAAAGTATTTTAATTTGGAAGGGTATTATAATATTAGCAAAGAAGCTATAGATTAGCTAAATCCAAATATACATGTTGAGAATTTTGTGACGCCTCCTGATCTCATTGGAATGATTAGAAATCATTTTACACAGAACAACATTGCTAGTAGACAGATTTTAGCTCAGAGCCTTCAAAGCCTTTTAGATCTAAATATGCAAGATAATCAGTATTTAGTTCTATCTCAGATACGCTAGCGATATAGAGCTGGTGAAAGAATATTAGCTCTAGAATGCTGGTACTCTACTGATCTAACTAATCTGGATTAGTGATCACCTTAGAAGATTTTTTTGAGTTATATCCTATATGACAAAAATATAGATTAGCTAATCTATTCTAGACATAGGCATTATTTGCGTCAGCTGAATTTTTTACGAAAAAATCATGCAATTCTTAAAGAGTGTCCTTCGAAAATAATAGGACCATTTTTCAGGGTTAAATTTAAACATATAAAGATATCCTATTACATTTTTATCAGCTTCTATTTCACTTATTTCTCAATTAGTATAACTATCAATATCAAGAAGATCTTAAATTGTTCTTATATCCTGTTCTAATATAAAAGTAAATGATAAATTTTCCCAAGTGGCATTTTTCTAAATATTACATCCATAAGATTTTACATATTTTGATGTAATATTGTAAGGATGGGGTGATCATAGATATCGATTTTCTTCAGTATCAGTTTTAATTCCTCTACCAAATCAAACAACAGCCCAAATGAATCTTCAAGTGTTTTTCCTTTCTTGCTTTGATTCAATGCTATTTGATTTGTATTATTATTAATAGATGATCTCTTTGAGATTACCATACCGAGTTTTTCCTGAATAGCTATTATATCTTTCTTCTTATATAAAAGTAATTCATATAAAGCTCTTTATGTAAGTTATCATATAATTAAGTATTGACTTAATTAGAATTATTATTAGTATTTCTTATCATAATTGTGTTTATCTCTGGTTAGCATATATTCAATTTTGATACAGAATACTGGTCATCAACCCAGGCAGTGATCACTAACTCAGAAAATTTTTTTTTAAGCCACATGTACAGTGTCTTTGACTAGATTGTGCGACAAAAAAATAAGTGAATCATCAGTCAGGTCTTATGCAATATAATTTTCGCATATACTGAAAAGAAGCTATGCATGCTACCAGTACTTTATTTTTTTTATTAAGTATAATTGATCTACAATATTAGCAAAATGTTAGATGATGAGATAGATGCTGAGAAGGAGAAAGCCTTCGATGAATTTACTAAAGAATATGAACAGAGAGAAGAGGATTAGACTATTTATGATGATGATTGGCACGATTGGAATGACCTTTTTTATGAAATTAAGACTCATTAAAACACAAAGGTGGTCAAGCATTGGAGAGAGAAAATACTTAAGCGATTTGTATATAGTCTACCCAGTGTAAGTAATCTAACCGTCATCATTTCATGTACTCTTACAATCCAATGTTATTTATCTTTCACAAATAATAAGTCTAATAGAATTGCCATATTATCCACTTGAACTTCAATCAGAAATATAAGGTCCTTCAGGATCTAGTCAAATGGTATATATTAGTCAATTTGAGATCAGTGATTTTCAGCTCAAAAGAATTTGCTGAGCCATAGATTGTACGATAAAAATAAGCTGATCACATAATAGGTTTGTATGATATTTTCGCATATTAATTTCGCATATATATTTGCTAACCAATACCTTTATCTTTTTTTCCCCAAATAAATATGAGAAAATGTGAAGGGAGGTCTAGTTGCAATATAAGATATACCATATAAGTAAAATAGTGCTGACAAAAGCATATATTATGAAAGGCTAAGGGACTTGCAATTTTGAGATTGACAAGAACTAGCTAACTTTGCGTAGTGCTCACTATGCTAAAAGGGATATGTTTTTCTTATACTATAGATCATAAACTGAAGTGATTAACAGATCATCATCAGGAGATCAAATAAGGTGATTATTATCAGAGATTATTATTTGGATAATATTCGATAATTTATATTTAAAAAAAATGATTATATATGTGATTTTAAAGATGTTCGTCTAAATAA